TGATCTTAACATCCACCCTTATTATCTATCCACTTATTACTATTGCAAGTTCACTAAGGGCCAGGCACTGGGTAGACCCTGGTAAATTAATCAATAAGGTTTGGTAGCCCTAGATATAACAGAAGGAGTAAACAGTAGAAGGGGTATTGGTAGTCTTGTGACAGGAAGAGAAATGATTGCTAATGGCTTAATACTGCAGGGGGCCTGAGAAACAAAACGTGCTCCATATTGCAATACAATATGTATGCTCATGAAAATGTCCACATCTCATCAACAGTGACTTAAATTATTCTATGCCTTTTTAAAAAGTGCCTTTTTAATAAGGAAGGAGTTTTATCCTGAAGATACTGAATGAAAAAAAATGGTGTGGAGGGGTAAGTTCTCGGAGGCATCATCTCCATTAATGAGATTTTTTGGTTATGTAAATTAATTCATTTTTTAAAAACTGCTAAATACAAGAGATTACAAAATTCTGTCTACAAAGCAGTGTGAAAATATTTAAAAATAATGTATACACAATGTCTACCTTGTAAGATTGTCCTATAGATAAATTTATATAAAGTATGAAAATGACATTTGAAATTTATATAAAGTATGAAAATGACATTTGAAGGTATGACATGTTCGATAAAGATGAAGGGATGTTTTCTTATACATCAAAGTGAGTCTTAAAAAAATTTTTTTTAATGTTTACTAATTTTTCAGAAAGAGAGAGAGCATGAGCTGGGGAAGGGCAGAGAGAGAGGGTGACACAGAATCCAAAGCAGGCTCCAGGCTCTCAAACCCATGGATAGCATGATCATGACATGATCAGAAGTCAAATGCTCAACCGACTGAGCTACCCAGACACCCCAATTAAAAGGAGTCTTAAGCAGAGGCAAGCAAGGGTAAACTGAACTAGAAACAGAGGCTGGTTTTCCTTGGTAGCCACTGATTAACTGTGTAAATAACAATGAGTAATTAATTTACTCCAATCTTAAATTTCATTTTTTAAGTGTTTATTTATTTATTCAGAGAGAGAGTGTGCAAGACAGCATGACTGGGGGAGGGGAAGAGAGAGAGGGGGAGAGAATCCCAAGAAGGCTCCATGCTGACAGCACAGAGTCCAATGCAGGGCTTGATCTCATGGACCATGAGATCATGACTTGAACCAAAATCAAGAGTTGGACGCTTAACCAACTGAGCCACCAAGGCACCCCACCAATCTTCAATTTAATTTTTAAAATGATATAGGCCAAGAATCTTTTAAGGTCTATTTCAGCCATAAAATTATAGGATTAAAAATGAAGAAATATTTTCACTTGCATACTATAGTACAGTAAGCATGATCAAAAGACTTTTATTTCCCTCACTGATTATGAAAATTCTTGGGGTGAAAGAAGTTACTCAGTAACATTCAGAAGATGTAATTGTCATGCTTCACCTTACATCATTCAAGAAAAGTATTTTACTCTAAACAATTAAAAAATGGTTTTTGAATAAAGGCAACATCTTAAAAAAAAGATAGAAAAAAAAGTCTAAAAACTATGAAGATCAAGAAGCTGGATTCCAGAAAATTATTAGAATATAAAGAGTTTTGATTTACAAAAATGCATCACCCCCCCAAACAATTTTATGCATATATTTTCTTTGTTGTGTCACTAACGAAGCAATTAATAAAAGAATTCCTTTATTCATACATATAAAGTGTCCTACACTTTGCAAATAGAAGGATGGAAAGACAGACTCAGTTCTCTTAGAATGTAGATTCTATCGTAACAATTAAATGAGAAAAAATATACAAAATCATTCTATTTTGTATTAAGTCCTTACTAATGAAACAGAGGCTGCTGTTATGTAGAAGTGGTGGGCTGGAAGGAGGAAAGCAGCAGAGAAGAATAGAAATGATGTGCATTACTTCTTAGATTAGACAGGATGATGTGAAAACTTTCTCTTAGGAGGTCATACCTAAATTGAGAATTAAGGATCATGAGACGTGAGCATGTGAAGGATCATAAGAAAAGCATATCAGACAGGGGCAATGAAAGTATCAAGGCTTTGGAGTGCCTCGGTTGCTCAGTCGGTTAAGTGGACGGACTCTTGGTTTTGGCTCAGGTCATGATCCTGAGGCTGTGGGATTGAGCCCTGTGTCAGGCTCTGCTGTAAGCCTGGAGACTGCTTGGGATGTCTCTCCCTGTCTGCCCCTCTCTCCCTCTCTCTCGCTGTTTCTCTCTCAAATAAATAAAAAGTGGGGGAAAAAAAAAGAAATTATCAAGGCTCGGGTGCAAAAGATAGTTTCTCATTTTCAAGAAATTAAAATGAGACCATGGTAATGAATTTGAAATTTATTCTAAGTGCAGTAGAAGGCATAAAATAGCAAAGTGGAATGATCTCATTTGCATGTTTAAAAGATTACTTTGCCTGTTTTATGATAAACGGTTAAAGAAGATCTAGAGAAGATGCACAGAGACCAGGTAGGAGGGGGGTGCTGAAGAAATAATACATCTTGATTTCACCAAGGCATGTGGCAAAGATTCTCACCGCTTTAAGAACACATAGGAAAAACTGGGGTTCAATTATAGTATGTTTGGGAAAATGTGTAGCTAATTGAACAAGAGTATGCAAAGAATATTGATTTAAAAGTTCAATCTCATCTTAGTGGAAATTCTGTATTGGCATGCTGCCCTGTCCTGGTCAACATGTTATATCAATTATTTGAACGTACACATGCTTATCAAATTTTCTGCTGACATTAAAGTAGGAGGACAATCAATATGTCAGATTAAAAAAAAAGATTTAAAACAATTTCAACTGTAAGGGAACAAAGGGTCACCACTCAGAAGGTGAATTTAATAGGGGTAAATATAATATTCTGAGTTTAGGTTAATAAAATAACATGGTTGGGTAGCTAGAGATTAATAGGCATTCATAAAAAATCAATTCTCAGATTTTACATGACTGTATGTTCATGTAAGGTTAAGATGTGAGACTGGGGCTTTAAGAAAAGATGAATATCAATGTCAGCTGCATTCATTGAAAAAGAAGTTCATATTGTGGGATACTACTGCTCCCACTGTCCTCTGCAAAGGTCAAGGCCCATGCGTAGAATTAGATACATTTCTATATGGTCATAAATTGATAGATAAATTAACAAAAATTAATGTGATATGAAGAAGATGGTTGTAGATTAAGTGCCTGGAGAAGACAACAATTAGGAAAGAAGGGACATGATTGTATTTTCACATATTTGAAGCCTAACCAGGATCACACAGTAAGCATGGGGAGTGAGAGTGATGGAAATTTAGACATTTAGTTAAAATTTTATGAAAGAGATGCTGCGTTTGTTTTTATACTTCTGAATAACTAGAGCAGTCTACCATGGATCAGGATGCTTTGTGATGAATAGGTGAGCTCTCTAGTTTTAGAATTTTTAAGGCTCAGTCACAGATTTTGATGGTGGCAGGATACCTACATTATATATTAAGTGGGATAAGTAAGGTGGACTCCAAACCCTGGTCCTCAGGCCAACTCAGCCACCCACAAAATGAGTGATAGAGCTTTATCCTAGGCTAAATGAATCTAATTAAATGACCACTCTCAAATATGATATTCTGTTTTTTAGATAGTTCTGGTAATAGAAATGCCTGTACTTTTACAAAAGGATAGCCTTAAGAGTTGGTGATTTGTTTTTTAAATGCCATAAATTATAAAATCAAGAGTTGGCAGTTCTATGTCAACCTCTAATTTTTGTTGTTACTATTGCTATCTTAAAAATTTTCTTATATTATGGAATCCAAAAATCAAAGAAGTACAAGTTTAATTGAGTGTAGAGATCTCCCTACTCTTAGAATCAATGAGTCTGTGTTTATTTTTTTTAAATAAATCCAACAGAATTCACTTGCTATTCCTAAAAAATAAGTATAGACTTGCGTTAGACCAGGAGAAATAAACATTTTGGTTCTGTAGCATTCAATCACACATATAATCCTTCTATTATTCTGTACACCTAAGGATATTTGGAAGATATCAGGAGATATTCACCAACAAAATAATCTTGGAATCCTATATATACCTAATACTCAGAAAATTCATTTCTCAACTAGCAAAAATGCCACATGACGGCAATAATAGATTAAGCACTGAATATTAGATATATTTGATGTTGAGTTCCCAGAGAGGATTTTGTTAATGAGAATATTCTACAGTGTTACTGCCAACAGACTTTGTAATTATGAAACCTTTGACATTAATGCACTGCTGTATGAGTTGGGATTTTATACTGGAAATATATAATCATATGCAAATACATAAACCCTTAAAAATGTAACTGCACATCAATCCTCAAAGGCATCTATACTCAAATGTGTACTCACTGCTCTTCCCTGTGGATTTTATTTTCAACTTACTATTTCTAAATTCCACTTTCTTTCATATGCTCATGAACTTTTATTAGATGATGGTCTTACGAGATGGCAATTTGTTTTTTTAAATGTTCTAAGCTGGAAATATAAAAGGTATAGTATAAAAGTTAACACTTTGCCTCTGCTTACTGTTGTTGTTATAGTTGTTTTAAAAATTTTCCTAATCTATAAAAGAAGAAAAAAAAGGAGAATTATAGGATTAATAGACTAGCAAAATTTGTTGCAACTCTAAACTTTATGGTTAAACATTTCTGAAAATGACTATTACACACTCTATAATGTGTATGTATCTATGTGTGTTATTTTGTTGTGTATGTAAATTTATACGTATATAAATTTGTGTGTGTGTGAATTTATATATGTACAGAGAATCCTCTAACAAACTATCATATAATAAGTCTTAATCCTTATAAAAGCAGAATACAGCTTTCCACTTAGATTTACAATTTATCCTATAAACAAGGTATTTCCCATATATGAAGAAAAGGTAAAGATCATACAACAAATTAAAATCTATTTGAATTTAAAAGAAACTGTTTTAAAGGCTTAATGGTATAAAAATTCAGAGTAACATTTGCACACAATGTAATTGCTACTTACAAGCAAACTGAAGCTTTGCTTCTCTGCTAACAATTGTTCCAAATGAGTTTGTTGCTATGCACTGGTACGTTCCAGCATCTTGGGTTTTATTGGGGTTATTGATCAACAAGCTGCCTTCAACAACACTGTAGCGGAAATCCACACCAATGTCAACATCTGTTCCATTTAATTTCCACCTATAGCATAAAAATGCCAGTAGATAAAGCCTTGTAATATTAATCAATACTTCTGAATCATTTAAAACATATAAAAACTATATAAATAGCATGAAATACCATCTGTGACTTTTTTTAACCATGGTAGAAAAAAAAAAAGTTAGAAATGCTCTACCCAGCAATGGTGACAACTTAAGTGCTATGGAAAGAGCATGTCTTTTATAGTAAGCAATGATATTAAAATTTTAACACTTGCTTTTGTGGCTACTTGATTCTACACACACTTTATTTTAAAATCCCCATAGCATCTTGTACAACTTTCTTCAAATAGGGCTCCTCGGAAAAAGTCCTTTTTTCTAGTTTGTAGTTATTCTTTAAATGGGTCTCTACAGATGACAGAATATACCACTTACAGGTAGATTGCTGAGTATTTGATGAAATTGCTGCAGAGATGCTTTGATTTGGTCCTTAATATGACTGAAATGGCTGACTGCAAAGCAGAGGAACTCTATTGATCTAGAGCTGTCTTAGGGGCCAAACTAGTCTTGATCATGGATCACTTTGAAGATCTTCTTAGTCAATGGCACTGAAATATCAATCAACCATTCCAGTAAACTGCAGATCAGGTCATTAGGTAACAGAGGCAAAGAGAGCTGTGTTGTTCTTCTGTTTATTTACTTCAATCATCTATTGTATCTGATGATATTGTTTGGCCCTATAAATAAATTTTCCTGGGACGTGCACATTTAAACAGCCAAGCTTTACTAACAAGATCTACTTCCTTTCCTTCTTTTTTTTTTTTTTTTTTTTTTTTTTTTTTTTTTTTTTTTTTGTCCACAGCCAGTAACATTCCAAAGAGAGCTTATTTTAACCAAATTGCCTTCCTTTGAATACTTTGGAACTTTTGAGCTAATACAATTCACTGACTATGTATCTTATTTTTCTTTTCCCCTCCCTCCCAAATTCTGCAAAAATACCAGGTAATGAAAATATGCCATGGTTGAAGCTTCTAAAATATCAAGAGTCCCACAGAAGCATTCCCATGGGGAGACCAAAAAATAAGAAAACACTGCAGTACAAAGGAAATTGATAAAAAACCATAACAAGATTAAAGAATGAGAGACTTTCATTTTTATTTCCTTCAATCAGTAAAAAACAAACAAAAAGCCATTTAAAATGTGTATGTATACCTACATACTCACTGTGTATCTTCTCACAATATTCTGGAGTACTATGGCTGGTGTGTTCAATGAATGTAAAAGGATTTATATGAAACCATACAATTCAGTTTGTTTCACGATTTTGGATATTTGGTGTCAAAAAAAGCAGAAGATGATCCTTTTCTCTGTGTCAAGAGCTCTTTCACACTTCAAGGTCAATTCTATTTTGTTCTATTTTTATTTTTTTTAAGTTCACTTATTTATTTTGGAGGGAGGGAGGGAGAGAGAGAGAGAGAGAGAGAGAGAGAGAGAGAGAGCAGGAGGGGCAAAAAGGGAGAGAGAGAGTCCTAAGCAGGCTCCGCACTGTCAGCATAGAGCCCGCGATGTGGGGCTCGAACCCATGAACCCTGAGATCAAGGGTAAGCAAGAATAAGATGCTTAACTGACTGAGCCACCCAGATACCCCAGGGTCAATTTTAAATCACCTTTTCCATTGAAGTCTTTTTCAATATTCATAGTCAAAATTAATTAAAGTTTTCCACAGTCTCCTATAGGATTCTCTCTGCTTCATCAGTTAGGAATTTGCCTTCACCAGAGATAATTTGCCTACATCACTTTTGTATTGTCCCCTTAGCAACCTAGACCTTGACAATCTCCTCAATAAATGCCTGTGGAACTTGACTAAATATTGTACTTCTTTATGATATATTTTAGCTTTCAGCATACACAATTTATGAGCATTGTAGCCCATCACAGCATGGTGGTGTACGTTTGTTCACATCCATGTCTTTGAATTGTAAAATTTAGAAACATGAGGGGCAGGAAAGGTAGGTCAGAATCACAAAATTGGACATAGCTCTTTATGTGTTTGTTTATAAGAAGATGGGTATTAGAAAAAGACATTGTTTTTAAGCTTGACAGTAATTTTTTCTGTGTTCTGACACAGACATGAAAGTAATAAGCAATAAAAAGAGAACAGCTGCGTTATATTTTAGCAGGTCTATCTGCACATGAATCTCTAGAAATGACTGCCTGCCCTAGACAGTTTTTTTTTTTTTTTTTTTTTTTTTTTTTTGAGTCAGCTGATCACGTCTTGGCTATAACTCTCACTTCAAATGATAGTTGAGCAATTTAATATGACAAATCTAAGAACTCAAAGAGGAAATTGCAATATAATGTGAGCTGCAAGCAGAATGTGGAATTTAGAAATGGACCATGTGAGCCTTTTTAGAAAAGTGGTTGTAGGAATAATGAGAACACCTCTGTAGGTTTGTCTACACTAGTCATCTCAACCTAAATGCTCTGCAGAAAGTCCTTTAATCTACTTTATTGCCTGCTTTTACATACAAATAGCAAAGGAAAAGGGATTATTTAGAAAATAAAGTGCTTGCTGGGAAATGCAGTTGAGACTAGATTACAAAGCACTCTACCCAGTTTTATTGCAATGCAGTCAATGTTCATTCCCACTGAATGTGGATTGCTTTGAATTCCTTATCCTATTCCATACTAGAACACTCTTGAAAAATCACAGTTTATTTTCAATGTTTGAAGAATCTTTATGTACTGGTGATAAAGAAAATGCCCATATGGAGCAAAGGGAGATTTTCTCTAGGGTCAGGATAAATTAGTAAGTCACGTAAACTGATTTCTGAATCATTTCAGAACCATAACTTAACTCTCTCCAGAGTCCGGTTATGCCCACTGACATTCTGGAAGGTACAATTTTCCCGACTTTTCTGGGAAGCTATCTATGGAATTTGTTGTAGTAAACCCCTCTTGCTTTGTTCACGGTTTCAACTTGGCATGGAAGAAGGGTCAAGACCTTTCTGACTTGGATTTTTTTGTCTACAAACTAAATCAAATACAAACCTCACAGCAAAAGTACTCCAACCAAGTACTTGAACGTCCCTTCTGTCTGGAAAGGGAAGCTGAGTGCAGTAAGTAATGTCACAAGTCCTTAAGAAACTTTAATACAAGGAAAGTTGGCACAAGTCAAAACTTCTTAAATTTTTCTGGGTCTGGGTCAATCCTTTCAAAATCGAGGGGCAGGAAACAATGAAAAGAGAAGGCTCAGTTGAGGGAATAATACAAAGAAGAGAGGTCAGTTGTGTTTGAGGAAAAACCTAATGCTGAAGATCCCCACGGAGAATTCACCTTGAATTTCTCCTATTTGTTCTTCCCCCTCAAAGTCAGCCAGAGCACTGAAAAAGTTTAGCTAGACTGATGTTTGAAAATACCCGATCACTCCATTTTTTCTCTTGCTCTTTCCTTCAACAAGAGGGAGTTTTTAGCTCCTAGGTAGCAACTGGCTATTATGTTACAGAGAAACTGCCAAAGGTATAAAGGAAAACCCAGTCCACTGCAACCAATTGCTGGTGCATTTGATTAAAAGTTTCCTTCTCTGCTTTTTCTGGCAATCTTTAAAAACATAATAGGTTTCTGTTCCACTGCTTGTTTTAAATAACAAAGCAGGCCCCTATATCTTGAAACACAATGTTACAAAAACAATGTTAATTAAAGGTCACAGTTTGGAGGAAAAACAAAGCAACAACTTGCCAAATTCTGCTGCAAAATTTGTTTTCATTTAAGGCTAACATCTGAACTTACACTTGGCTATGTACTAAAGCATGGGTCCATTTAACTCATCATTTATGTATGTAGAAACCTTTCCTTCTTGCATTTATTATTTACTATATAACACATCTTAAAATATCTGATTAAACCTTGAATTCAATATATTATAGGGAGAATAAGTACATATTCTGGTTTGCCCAAGGATAGTGCTGGTTTTATACCTGCTGTCCTAGAATAATTATTACCAGTGGTGTTCACTCTCAAAATTATCCTGGTTTTGAATGATAAATTACATGTCCATTAGAGAGGTCTTTTTTTGGTTTTAATTTCAGTAATGCACTTCCTATGGCAAAATATCCACACAGCAAAATAATATTTACCCTCTAGATACAGTTAAATGTCTCCTTTTCTGTGAAACTTTCACTAAAACCTTCCACCTTCCATCCTGAAGTAGACTTTCTTCCCTCCAGGATGCCCTGGAACTTGGACATCCTTTATAGCACTGACAACACAGTATTTGCAGCATAGCAGTCTTACTATGAGGCAGTCCTCCAAAAAGCATACTACTTGAACATGCAGTCTATTAATCTTTGAATATCTTAAACCTAGGATGGCATTTGGTAAATCACCGTTGCTTAATAGAGTGGTTGAAATACCTTTCCTGGACCACATATTTTTTCAGACTCCTAGTCCATACCCTAATTCAAAGGAGAGCTGCTATGGTGGACTCCTGAGTAGAAGTTCTGCAATTACTCACCCTGGTTAATTGCTGAACCAGTTCCATGTACCTAAAATTCATAGTTTGAAAACCACTGGGTGGTTTGATGCATGATGATATATTTGATGAATGAATGAATGGGCACACAAATTAAATTCTAAAATAATTTCCACTATGCTAATACTGCCATCCTTTACCTTGTATAAGATGTCCTTTGCCCTGTGCCACTTTGCAAGCTCAGCATCACAATTCAAATCCCACTTCTCTAGATCCTTAATGACTCTAATCTCTTCCTGTCCTAATATATGTTATATATTATTTTTGTTTTACACACTATTATATTTTGGTTATTAAAGTTATTGTCATTAAATGTGAATAGAGGCAAAATCCTATTTATAAGATATATAGAGTTACTGTTTCTATATGGCCCGGCAAACACTTATTCACCCAACATTTACTTTTGTTTTTTTTTTTTTAATTTCTGTGTCATTCTTTCTCTTTGAAGTCTCAGACTCCTACCTGCTTCTGCTTCAGAATGACATATATACCACATTTTGCCTGTCTGGAATTTCATATGTGTGTGGATTCCTCATACACATGTGACTATATTTGATTATCTTCTGTTAATCTGCCTCGTGTAAATTTAAGTTTTAGTGCAGCTAGAAGAACCTTGGACAGAAGAAAATTTCATCTGCCCCAATTATAAAACACCATGAGGCAATAAAGATCTGTGTGTAAGAAAAGTAGTATTATTACTTTTAAAGGCTCCTGTTTCCATTTAGATTCTAGCCATTTCCCTCTGAATGGTTAATTATAACTTCTAATTTTGGCTTTCTCATTCCCTTGATTTTCTTTATGATTTTATTAAATATGTTGGTATCCTTAAACAAGTGCTCTAGCTGACCTGCTTTTGAACTTTATGAATATGGAATTATACTCTATTCTTCTGTGACTTGCTTTGTTTGTTCAAAATTACATTCCTGTGATCCATCACTCTGCAGCCATAATTTATCATTTTCATTACTGCTTGGGGATACCTTGTATGAACATACTAGGTTTAATCTATCTGTACGATGTTGAATTTAATCTTCTAAATTTCTGTTAATCTGGTAGACTTGGAAGAGTGTGTCATTTTAGTTTTAATTTGTCTATTTCTGCTCACCAATGGCACAGATAATCTTTCTACATATTTAATGGATATTTGATATTCCTTTTCTTAGAAGTACATAATCAAGTCTTTTGGTAATGTTTCTACTAGGCTACTCGGTTTTTTTAATTTTTTAATTTTTTTTTTTTTACTTTTTGAGTTGTGTGGATTTAAAATATATTTTTGGATATTACTTCTTTGCCAATGACATGTATTAAAAATATCTTCAAGCTTCGGTTGGAAGCTTGAAATTTTACTCATCTCAGTATTTCTGTTGAACAGAAGTTCTTAATGTTAATGAGGTTAAATATTTTCTTTTAAGATTTGTGCTTTTCCTGTCATATTTGAGAAATACTTCCTTGCCTCCAAAGTCACAGATATGAATGCCTATCTTCTTTTAAAAGTCCATGTCCCATGCAGGTCTTCCATTCTCCTGAAATTTGTGCATGCAGTTAGGTTGGGGTCAAATTTTATTTTTTTTTCGCCATGTAGATACATCCATTGTGCAGTTTATCTTTTTAAAACTTATTTCTATTATTGCTATGGATTTTAATTTTTCTTTTTTTTTAACTCCACAAGACAGTGCTTTTTAAAATTATTTTTTATTGTTTAGTGTAACTGCAATTGATTTGATGTAGAAAGACGAATCTTCACCACTTGCTTTACCTATCTTTAGTTCTTGTATCTCTGGTACTCTGGTATCATTTTCATTTTGCTTTAATTCTATCTTTTAGAATTTTCTTTAGCGAGTGTGCCTGCTGGAGTCAAACTTTAATTTCTGAATGCCTGAACACATATTTGCTTTGTTGTCTTTTTAAGAAAGTATTTCTGCTACACAGAAATTTGACAGTTAATTTCTTTCAGCATATTGTCTTCCATCTTGGTTTTTTGTTGCTATTGAGAAGTCTGGTCTGCCATCTACTTGAAGGTTATCTATATTATCAACTTAACTATTTTTATGATCATCTTTGATTTGGGTGTTTGGCTGTTTCACTATAATAATTCTAGATGAGGCGTTATTTTCATTTGAACTCCTTGAAATTCATTTGCCTTCCTAAATCTATAGCTTGGGATATTTTTTTAAGATTTTATTTTTAAGTAATATCCACACCCAACATGGGGCTAGAACTCACAACCCCAACATCAACAGTCACATGCTCCACCGACTGAGCCAGCCAGGCTCACTCCAAGCCCTGAAAGCTTGGAATTTTTAATTAACTTTGGAAAATTCTTAACCTTCTCTTAAAATATTGCTTCTGCCTCATTCTCCCTTGCTTTTCTTTATGGAACTGTGATTAAACTATGTAAATATTTCCTATTAATCCCTTTTGCTCTTTCACTTACACTTTCTCTCCCCCACCTCCCTCGTTTCTTCTCTCTCTCTCTTTCTCTCTCTCTGCCTCTCTCCCTTTGCATCTTTTTACTCCTTTCTGCTGCCTTTGGATGATTTCTTCAGATAGATCATGCAATTTACTAATTCTCCTTTCAGCTGTGTCTCATCTTCTATTAAAACCACTTAGCAGGGGCGCCTGGGTGACTAAGTCAGTTAAGCATCAGACTTCAGCTCAGGTCATGATCTCACACTCATGAGTTCGAGCCCCACACCGGGTTCTGCACTGACAGCTCAGAGCCTGGAGTCTGCTTCAGATTCTGTGTCTTCCTCTCTCTGCCCCTCCCCAACTTGTTCGCTCACTCTCTCTCTCTCAAAATAAATAAACAAAATAAAAAAATTTAAAAACAACAATAACAACAACAACAACAACAACAGAACACTTAGCAGCAGCATTGCCTGAGTGGTTTAGTTGGTTGAGAGGCCAACCCTTGATTTCAGCTCAGGTCATGATCTCACTTTTCCTGGATTTGAGCCTGCCTGGAATTCTGTCTCCCTCTCTCTCTGTTCCTATCCTGCTCTCCTGTTCCGTCTCTCTCTCTCCCTCTCAAAATAAATAACTAAACCTTTAAAGGTCACTTAGCACCAAAATTTGAAATAGGCAGTTACTTTTGCTTTACAGTTCTTTGGGGAGGCAAGCTTATTTCAGTATATAGCCTTTGGGTTCCAGGCCTATTCTGGGAGGTTTTCTCATGTTCCACTCTCCTCTCAGTCGACTCTAGGCTTTGTCTTGTGATCCCCTGTGAAACTGCAAAATCCAAAGCTCCAGTTCACATAATTCATCAAGGTGAAAACTGCTTGTGGGGGTCAGTTTTCTTCTCTGGGTTCCAAACCTACTTATTTCTTTACTTCTGAGTATTTCTTACTTTCTTACCAGTTTGTTGAGACATGTTTAAAAAAAATATGTTAAGGAATATTTAGGCTTTTAGTGAGGGGGTCAAATAGGATATTCAATTCCTGGTATAGCCAGAAACAGAAGTTGGGCACTCAACTTTTCAAGAACACAATCAACTCTTTAGTATGTCAGGACAGCCTATGATGCTTGTCTAAAAGATCTTTATGTCATTAGAAGTACGGGTCAATTTTAATAATAGAAACGGTATGCATGGAAACATAAGATTTAAAACAACAAACCTGATATGTGGCTTTGGATTCCCTTTAACTTCACAATTGAGCTTCACCTTTTTCTCCTCAGAATTCAAAGGGAACATTACGTGACTTGGTTCCTGAATAAAAACAGGGCCGTGCAGTGTGTAGTCATCTGAAATGAGAGGAGAAAATGTCCAAAAATGAAAAGAACATCTTCCAAAGAGAAACAATAACAGGAACCAAGTACAAAATGAAAACAAGAAAGATAAAATAACAAAAAATAGTAATACACAACTGATTTACTTTCAGCCTTTAGATGAAGTTTCCCATTGCAGACTAATCCTTCGCGGAATATTGTGAAGCAGAGACGCAGACTCTATTTCATTCTGATAACTTATTTTTACTAACAACTTCCAGAAAACTGCATGGCATTTCCTTTCCTCTCCTCTTAGTTACCGTTCCTTCTGTCTTTTGCTCACCCTTTTACTTTGTTCACATTTTGTTCCTAATATATCTCTTTTGTGCCTCTGTCATCCGGTCTAATGTCACAAAGTTAAAATTTCTCTGCTCTTTAATGGATAATAGAATTGGAAGTAAGCAATGATGATTTCATAAATACCTTAATAATGAGACACAGCTCTGTACTGCTAATATACGTATAAAATTTTCTTAAGTTGTCTACGCAGGTAAAGAACAATGTAGAGTCACAGCTCACTAATTTTCTGTGGTAAATGACCAGTTTGTTTTTTGTTTGTTTGTTTTTTCCAACCTACAATGGACTCATACATGGGGATATCTGTGTAAGTATCATACATCTAGAACCATAAGTGACTCAGCACACAAATTCAGTAACATCCAAATTAGTCTATTATTATTATTATTATTAGTTCAGTGATGTACAATGATGTAGGAATTTTTCTAAATGCATTCTCTCAATAACAGTAACTAGATGTATGAAACTTACTTTATCACAAAACAGCAGTAAAGTTCATGCTGGTAATCCACAAACCATACTTTAAGTAGCAGTATGTAGATTAGATATGTTTCTAGAGTACACATATAATAAATGTTAGTCAAAATGCATCTCCCCACGTATACCCATGAAAGTGATTTTCATTCTTCAAAATCTAGTTCAAGTTTATTTGTTTGCTTTTTTATTGTTAACCTACAAAGCTTTTCTAGACCCTTATCTTCTTCCTTTAACCACATGATTCTTCAGTTATATTTCCCTGTGGAAGCTTATCTTTTTCTTTCAAGTGTATTTGTAGCTTTCTTTTTCCTGCTTCAAACTGTAAGCTCCTTGAGAGTGTAACCATATCTTACACATTTTTGTATGCTCTGATGTAGCAGATATAGCAGTTTGTACATAGATCATCAATAAGGACTTGTTCTATTTAAGTGTCATTTTCTTTTCACTTCTTAATCTATTCAATCAGCTGACTTAGGCACTGCCTGATGAGTTTCCAGATAGAAGGGCCAGTGGCTATGAGGTAAAGTAAAACTGAATATCACCCTGTAGCTTAGAATCCACTCCCCACTAAGGTGTGATTATTTTTAACAGTGTGAATTGCAACTGCTATCCTAGAAAAACTTTAGAAGCAGCCTTTGTTGATGGGTGGTTAGATGCCACTAAATTCATGTAGGTGAATCAGGACTGAGGAAAAAGAATAAAGCTGATCTGGGAATCTTGGTGAAGGACAGGAAGTAAGGTAATTTTTTGTATGGCTTACAACCCAAACTTAAAAGAATCCATATGTTGAGGGTGGGACAGAAGAAAATTTAAGGAGACAAGATGACAAAACAGAATTCTATTTTACTATAGAGGAGTGGGGACAGCCAAGCAGGATATGAATTCAGAAAAACCATGAGCTAAGATTCAATGCCTTGGGTCACCTACTAAATCCATGACTTATCTCTCCATCGCCTAGTCTTTCTAGCCCTCAATTTTCTCATCTCTAAAATAATAGGACTGGACTAGGTTAGTGCTTCTACACTTAAGAATGGGAAATAATCCCTGAATATTGTCCCATATCTTACATGCACAGACATCCACCATCCTCTCTCCTTACTCCATGTATAAAATCTCATGTTAATGAGACTTACACAAAGAAAACAGGATCTGCCAAAGAACTCTAAAGCACAGAATGAAAGTACACAAACAGACTTTTTTTTTAACACTTGTGGTTTGAAGCCAGAAACTTCAAACTGCGGATATTTACATTTCAGATTTTCCACAATTACATAGATCCTTTCAAAACAAATTTAAACACTGGTCAAGGATTAGTTCAATTCAGATACAAAAAATTATGTGAATTTTTGGCATGTCTATTTAAGTAACAAATGTTACTCATCAAGATTGCTAACATAGCAGCATGCTTGGTGGATTTTTCTCTAAGAGAGAAATATTTCTATTGTTGTCCCAGTTCCAAAATTATGTGTGTGTTTGTGTGTGTGTGTATGTGTGTGTATATATATATTATCAATCATCTCAATTCATTGGTGTTCCCTGATTTGAATTTCATACAGAAATACACAGTCTATTACTAGTAATTCTAAATAAGAATGAAACATAATAATGATTATCCAGGATGCAGCTGAGAGGCTGTGGATTAACATCTGTACTATTTCTCAATGTATCCATGCCATATTTAAATAACAAAAATGATATTTTTTCTGTGTATTTTGTAACAAGAATTGATAATAATGATGCTTTTGCATTCGCTATAAATAACACACTACATCCAAAGTTTTTATTTTCTCTTGGTTAACCAAGCTTGCTGCCTGTAAATCAACATTAGCATTTTAGCTCTCATCTAAGAAAATCCATAGCTTTTCAAGCATGAGCTACATGGTTTCAAAAAGATGGAGGGAGAGATTTTAGAAAGTTGAGCAATGCAGATGTGGAAGACATATCCTAACTACAAAACATTTAGCCTAGAGTTACCAACATTTTTGACAACAAAAGAGTTAAAGGGTTGTTTTATTTCTCTCAAACCTCAAGGTACCTGGGTGAAACAGAGTCCTCAGAATGACATTCTTAGATGAAACATGGATGGAGACATCAGTAAGTGTGCTCTTTTTGTAGTAGTGACAAAGTGACTTTCAAGTGTGTCTTAAAGGTTTGAAGGTACATACGAAGCACTCTGCATCTGCCATTTGTAAAACCTATAAGGTATAGTTTCCCCTTTCCTTTGTCATATTAAGTTTTTCTATGCAATTGGAGGGGGAGCCATGATTTTCAGCATAAAGGAGCATCTCAGAAAATGACAAGAGGGCAAGATTTTAATAAGGCAAGGTGTCTCCAAGTTAGACCGTGGACCACCTGCATTTTAATTGTGTATGTGCAAGTATAGAGCAAGTACAGAGCTTGTGTTTTTAGACTCAAGTCCAAAATGACTTCATCAGAAAAATCCAGGGTCCATGAATTTGCCTTTAACCTAGTTCAATCTGGGTGATTCTTCTGCACACTAGAAATTCAAAACTAACACAGATCCTTTTGTTCCTAGCTCTCCATTTCCTAAGAGCAGAAATCAGCCAACACTGGCTTTAGACACACTCCTAAACATTCTCTGTCTGGCAAAGTCAAACCAACACATCTTTGCTTGTAGCATATAGAGAAGGACTTTTAGCACATGTTTGGACTAGCAGCTAAGAGGCACGAAGACAGGAACAGAAACCGATAAAACTGACCCACACAAGGAAATGGGTGGATTTGTCAAAGTATGGGACTCAAGTTGAAACTAAACTGAAACTTCCTTAGAAACACCCATATAGTTGAATGCCAACAGCTAATTATGAGAACGCTTCCAAGGGTTCTATGTGACAAAGAAGAGGGACTGATGTGACAAGGAAAAGGTATGCTCAGGTGACCTAATAATCCACTGTCCTATGGTGATAACTTATCCTTACTTGATACACATTATATTCCTGCTGTAACTACTACCCTTTGTTTATAAGAAATGAATCTCATCTTATTTATGTGACAGGATGTTCAGATTGATGTTTTCACTTGTGGATTCCCCAAAGGGTGGAAACTCCACTAGTGACTCACCCAGCTTGAAGAATTTAGGGGAATGGACTCACATTATTATCAGGAATCTCTAAGAGGAGCAGTAGGCAATTACTTTTCTTGAAATTCTTGAAAACCATGGTGAAGAGAAAGAGAGGGAAGCCAGGTTGCCAACAGCCCAGACACAGTCTTTCAGATTTCAGATCATTGATCTCAGGGCCAGCCTAGGGGATTTACTGAAGATGCCAACACTGGTACATCATGATTTTCTGGTTCTCCCCTCTTTGGAGACTATCTGCCAATTGGTCAATTGGATACTTCCACAACACTACTTACATTCCCGAAAGTTTAACACAGAAATTCTCATGCACCAATATCTGAGTAAACCGTATATTTGCAAAGAGAACAGAGAAGACCTAAGCTAAGGAAAACCCCCTTTCATGTTTCAACAAAGAGTGGGAAACCTATAGGTTTTCAGAAAGAGTACAACTTTCGTGACCAGAAATGTATTTAAGTTAAAGGTCAGATTACCCTTAACCCTTCTGTCCCTTTGTTCATCAAATACTGAAAGTTATTAGAAAACACTGTTCTCAACAAGTGTGTCTCAAACTCCTTTCCTCATTTATTCTTTTCTTTTTAAAATCTATTTTTTAGGGGGAGACAAAATCAATGTTTGTCAGCCAATTTCTTGCTGCCTCCTGTAAGTGTTCCAGAAACAAAATGCAGTGTCAGGGCGATTCTTAAAATGTTTGGAGTATTGAAAGAGATGCATAGAATATCACAGAACTTTAAAGAGATTATTTAATCCTGAATGTATTTTCCCAGGTCACAGGCTAAAAAAGGTACTATATCTGTAACAGAAACAAAAATGATTTTTACCTAAAAAATAAAATAATCCTCTAAGAAATACAATAATAAAACACATTTCCACAGTGAGGTACTGCTCATTTTATCTGCAGCATTGAAACATCAACGATCTTACTCTTTTTTTTCTTCTTAATTTTTTTATTAATTTGGCCCATTTTGACATGTCCCCAAACTTCTCTCCCAGGCAAGCAAGCAGAATGTTTCTCAGGCTATCAGAAGCCAAACTTGGAAAAGAAATTGGAATGGATGGAGGTGGCCTAGGTTTTCTGAGACTGAGAAGAGGAAAATAAGACTGAATCTCAAGTGATGGTATACTTCAGGAAGCAAGGCAGAGGCCCAGGGTTCAAGTATAGTGGAGCAAGTGTAGAGCAAAATCCCCATTCCATGTGAAAGGTCAGCAGCAAAAGATAACATGCATAAAGGAGCAAGCCAGTGGGTAGGTACAGATTGGAAGAATCCACTGATGCTAACTGTAGATCTTTTTAAAATAGGGCATCTGTAAACCAGCCTAAACGGTAGCCAATATAGATAGGAAAGGCATTAAAGGGCTGAGCCATATCAGACAGCAGGTGTGATCTTCAGATAAATATTTCATAGAAGGCAAGTTTGCAAAAAAAAAAAAAAATCAAACTACGCGTAAATTTATTCCTCAAAGTATGTTCTAGAAACCTCCTGCATCAATATCACCTTACCCGGTGGTGTTGATGAAAGGCAGATTTTTGAGCCCCTGCCAAACTTACTGGATTTTTATTATCAGAGCCCAGTACTGCTGTTCATTATTGTGCACTCTACGGTTTGAAAACTAGTACTGCACATTATAAATTGAGCATAGATGACTTTCAGCCCTAAACCAATTAAGGATACCAATGAAGAAAAACAACCCTGCAGAGTTTTGTTCTGTGTGCTAGATCACTCTGTAGTTTCCATGTGGGATGGGGTAAAAGGCCACATTTCTCCAGCAAAGCCCTTAGGTCAATGCACTTCTCTTGTGCTGGAAATATTTTTCAAGCCTTGAAAACTCTGACTCAACTCTGCTGGGAAAGGACAAAAATGCAATACTATGATTTCATCATAGAAAACTAAAAATACCAGATTCAATTCTACTTGTAATTGCCCTGGAGTTTCCAGGTGTTGCACCTGAGGGTTGTTTAGGCCCTTAATCTTAATGGCAGATATGAAGTTCTGCCATAACAGTCAAGAATCTCAGACTAATATAGAGGGTCAATCTTCCCAGGACATCAAAAGAGGCTTTTGATTAAACACCTGGTCTTGGGCACAAACACTTAAATAGCAATAATCTCAATTTGAGAAGTAAACTCTAGGATACCTAGTAGGGAACATAAGGGTTTGAGTAAAAGCTCAGGACATGAGCCCGTGGCTTTAGATGGGAGTTACATCTGGGTTACATCTGGAGGATAGTTTATTACATTATACATGCACAGAAGCATCCTGATGCAAACCAAAGTGGCCGTGCCATGCTGTACCTTTTACACTGCATCCTGTAGAGCCCTTGACCGATCAAGAGCATAAATGCTCTCTATGTGGGCAATCAGTGGGAACATGTTGCCTTATTGGATTACAGACCAAAGCCACCTCACCAAGGACAAAGAAGAGGTACTTCTTCTGCTATGCTGGTTTGATGGGTGTGTTCCCAGAGTCATGCTCATATTTCACTCTCTCCCTCTCACCACTTGCATCAATGGGGAGACACATTATTCATTTTGCCACTAGAATGGTCCAGGAAGAGCACACACAGGGTCCAATGTATCCTGCTAGCTGGGAGCCTTCTCCTCTAACCTTTCTAATGATTGTGGAAATTCATTTTGGCCGAGAAACTGTAAGGTCAGCAACATCTCTGTGGATTGAAATTACTCACAAAATGTATGGGCAATAACCTACGGAAAATCAGAAACAAATGAAATACTCTGATTTTCTTGAATGTGAGAATTCCTTTAAAATGAATTACTGATTGTAGAAATGATGACTGGACAGCTGTCAAACTATCATTACAAATACAATTTAGCGTGGTTAGTCTTTATAACATAAATAGCAAGGGATGTTCAAAGGCCGCACACAAGTGCCTATGTGTGAAACTATCCAACACACAGTATTTTTATTGAATAAGTACTCCACTTGGTTCCATTTGCTTGCTCAGTTGAATAGAACAGAGGCAAAACAAATACAAGAGGAGACAGCCATGCCTGCTTAAAGGATAAGATGCTTCTTTCATCTGTCCTTTCTTCCACCTTCCTTCTTTTAACCTCCTCACACGAGCATTTTAAACAGGAAGGAACAGAGAAGTCTGCTGACAGCTGGTACATGTTTGAAGGCAGAAAGTGAAAGAAAATCCAAACTAGAAGTGAACTCTTCTCCTACTCTTTCTTTGTTTCCTGCTTAATAGAATAGTGCTGCTGCCATTATACACTGTGTCACACATAATGAGGACCTAATTGTATGTAACGCCAGCTCTTAGAAATGGTGGTGATCTGGGGAAGTGTTAGGAGATAAAAGTGGTCTCTTTGGGGAGAAAAATTCTGCATTGCTTAAGGAAGCATTTGTAGGAGTGGCAAAGATCAACAAGGGGAAATGGTTCAGCACAACCTACTCCAACCTACTCCTGACCCTGACCCCAAATCCTGATGCATTTCAGAAACAATGGATTCATTACTCCTTTACATATAAGTAAATGGGTGACTGTGACAACAAGTTCCAATTATGAAAATAAAGATAAATTTTCAACAAATGCAAATATTCTGTAACTAATTTGGGGGCAAAAACTGAACTTAAGTGATATGAGATGATAGCCTTAGTGTGAATATCTCTACAGAATTATAAGTTTGTTTGATTATGGAGTGCTGACCCAGACTCAGCTGGGGATGAGTCATTATTTACTAATGATGGCAAATAAGAATATATAAAAACATATGTATGTAACAGATTGGTTTTGGCTAAAGAAGTTGGAATAAGATATCTGTAACACTAATTCACTAAATGCTATTTCCCTCTTAACATAAGTATACAGTAGATATCTATGGTTTTTGCTTACTCAGAATTCATCACTTCTCTTCAAGGTAAGGGCATTCCACTTTTTCTTTGGTGACCCAAGTGCCCTAGTAGCCTAAGTGGTTTGGGTAGACTAAAATCTTGTATCCAAGTTAGGAGCAGGAGGTAACTCAGGCCTGGCCAATTAATATTCCATTTTCTTAGAAAACTGATTCCCAAGCATATGATGCAAGTTTGGATAGTAAGATTCTATTTCAAGCCTTTTCATAAAACTACTAGGGGGAAAAAAGGTTTTTTAGAGTCTGGGATTGCTTGGAGGGAGAAAGCCTAGAGTTTTCAAAGGCCTCCACATGGAGAATTAAAAAAAAGAGAGAGAGAGAGAGAATGAACTAACGCACCAGAAGGAAGCTAATAAGAAACCAAAGAATGGAGGCTGAGTTTTGATGACATCACTTGAGCTTTGGAACCAGTTCTGTTCCAAGCAAGCTTTATCCCTAAGATTCCTAGATATGTGAGCCAGTTATTGCTTTTATTTAATCAAATTTGAGTTGGCTTTTAACAGCTGAAGCTAAGTGACTCTTAATCGAAACTATATTCGTAGAAAGTACACATCGTTTAATCCGTGGGTTAATTAATGTCCTTTGCTCTTCCTTTTCTTCTTTCAATTTCCTTTCAGCCACTCTCCAAATGTGAGTGTGTAAATGCACACGAATAGGCCCTCAGCAATATCACAGGCAAAGATCTTCCCTTTGGAGCTACTGTTCATGTTCATGCTTCTATCTCAACCTGGTTGCTCCTGTGATCAAATGCTCCCTAAAAGTCTGCTCCTTTGACCTGTGTCACTTCGATTACTTATGACAAGCCCCATAAGACATGTCTTCATGTCTTTCCCATGCCCTTCCCCATCACAGGACACTATTACCTTTTGGGGGAAAAAAAATATATATATATATAACAATATATTAATCTATTCCCCAGATGTGTAGCTTCTAGCTGAAATTCATATACTTTAATGGTGGCCTTTTAAAGAGATAATTAACCTAAAACAGTGTTAATGTTTATAATGTGCTTTTATGTGTTCTTCATGTGCAAAAAGACTCTCTTAGGGAGCCAGTTAAAATTAATGCAGAGCTTACATGTGCCTTCCCCCCAAATTCTGATTAGATAGACCTGGAGGTAGGGCACAGACATTTGAATTATGCATCTCAGCTTATTTAGATGCAGGTGATCCACAATCATGAGCCACCATTTAATAAAGAAAAATTAAGAGAATGGCAGCAGCCACAGTAGGATATTTCAAGCACCCGGTGGCTACTAGAACTTTTAACCAAGGAAACAGAGTATTTGTTTGGCTCTTAATCAAATGCTGGAAATGCCTGTCTTTTCTGGCTTGGGTGAGCAGAGTGTTTCCCATTATGTCTGTCCATGGGGATAAATTCTTCTTTGTAATAGGAGGTGTAAATGATTGTAACAAACCTGCTCTGGCTCCTGATGTTTTGCTTATTATGTATTAAGAAAATCCAGATTTGTCCAAGCTTCTCTGTGACTGGGAGAAACAATTAACTCTTTCCCTGGTTATGTCGCTAAGCCTCCCAGAACCAAAGTATCTTCATTCTCAACAAAACAAAAGTATGACCAAAGTTGGCTCTTCTACACTCAGTTGTAATTTTGCATTTTCTTGGAAACCATCTGTTTTAAGGCCTTCTGGGGTAACTTGCTGGTTTTATTATCTCCGCAATGACACCCTAGGTTCCCCACTTCCTTCCCTGATATTGAGTTGCCTGAACACGTAACACCTGCAGGTGGTACTTTCATGTTACATGCACTGTGGCTCCTCAAGTAATATTCATGATTCTTTGCACCTGTCTCTTTAGCAGCTGAAATACCCCATGTCTGTCTTTCCTTAAATGTTTCAGGTTTTCAATTCAACAGAGTGAATGCGTCAATATATATATGTATATATGTATATATATATATATGTATATATATATACATATATATATATATACACACTAGGAAGCGTGAAAGGGAGTAATCTGGGAGCTGTTCAAGCAAAACTCTGACAACATATTTCTAACAGGAAAGATCCACTAAATTTGAATTTAGTATGCTGCTCTTTCTGGTGTGTAAGTACTTTAGTTATTTTGCATATAGTTGCTTAGGATACAAGGTTGTCATGATGTCCCTGAGGAAGCTGGGGAGGAGGCGAAATTGAGTTGCAGTTCATGGCAGGCACTGGGTTCCAGTGTATGAGTCTCTTTGGTGGGGCACTGTCATTTTGATTGAAATGAAAACCCAAACCAGACTGTGTCCTATGTCATTGTCTGACTAAATCCAGTAGTCCTGCTAGAGATGGGAAAACAAGCATTATCACTCAACTTAGGCAGAGATGTCCTCAGCTTTGGAAAAAAGATGCTTAGGAGACTACAAATTAACTTCTACTTTCTCTTCCTCTAAAGATAAACCCCTCCCCCCCACCCTGGCCCCATGTCTGCTATACAGAGACATGTAGAATAATGGCAATAATGACTACTATTATTGGGCATGAGGCCAGGCTGCATGGAAAGTAAAAACACTTGCCAGGCCCTGTCTCACCCCACCAACAACCCTACTGACTGATGCTATATTCCTCCTCACTTGATGATGGAAGAAGAGGAGATTAGAGATAATTCACTTATAATAGGCTGCAAGTCAGGCATTGGAACATGGTGTATTATAAGAGAAGAGCTAATTGCTCAGGGGCACCATGACACCATGATATACACTTGCAATTACTCTCTATGCATCACCACCAACAAGTAACAAATGAGATTTTGATATGTTGAATAAGAACAGTATCATCAAATGTAACTTGAGATTTTTAGGCCACCCCATTTTTGACATGAGGAACCAAAGTTTTTTAGGGATTAAATGCTTATGAAAAGTCACACGGATACTCAATGATGGGGCTCTAACAAGAATCCTGTTTTTCAGATTTAATTGAATGTTCTTCATAGTACCATCAGTTCCCTCTAGTTTGTTTTTTGGATAACAGTAGAAACGGTCCACTTGTACCTAGAAATATACTGGAGGAGAATAATGGAGTCATCTCTTAGGAAGGGAGGAAATCTATTTTGTCAATATTTATGTCTTCAAACTTTGGTTCAGGAAGAAATAAGTGAAAGTTTATTTCCTTTCAATAGAGAGCAGAAGGGATAAATGTATTCATTATATGCTGCACTTGTTACTAATTTTTTCAAATTACAAAGTTGTTCTTTTTTAGAATTACCAGCATATTGATGTACAGAAAGGATATTTTGTCCTAAAGTAATCCTCTATAGAAAACTGTATAAAAGGGGGATTCATAACCTTTCAAAATGACAAGCATAAAATTTGCATCTAATTATTGGGCATTCTGCCTTTTCTATGTCATTCTGTCATAAGGTAAAATGGCATGCACACTGATTTGGGCAAACACAAAGCAAAAACTCTGTGAAGGGATAAATGGCAGCAGAAAATGCCATTGACTTGAATTCACAGGTTTATCAAAAGAGGAGGAAAAACGTTTTCTTGGCTTTCC